TGTGTGTGTGTGTGTGTGTGTGTGTGTGTGTGTTTGATAATCTTCTGTAGCACACAGACCAACTTACAAACACTCCCACTCAGCATCAGACTGACGCACGAGCTTTCACATATAAACTGGATGCTCATCAGTCACACGTATCAGACTGACACATGGTTACATATCTTCCTCTTTTTTCAGTTAAATGAAAACAGTACATTGGCATGCAGACAGATCACGAGGAATTTCATAGAACGAGCACTCAGATCTTTATTTCAGAACTCTTGAATTATGCTTTCGTTCCTCCCAAGTAGAGTAATTGGCTGTACAATAGAGTATCTGTCAGAAATGTGACTTCTTAGGGCTGTACAGATTCTCCAGATCCACAGCTTGGTTCGTAGCTCAATTTTTAGGCCAGAATTACAGTTCATACCTCAGTTTTGTCTGTTTTGTTTTTTTCAAGAACAAAACAGAAAAAAATCTAACATTTATTTTTATGACAGGGATTCATTACTTCATTACTGAGATGTATCCAGTTCAGTCTTCACCTGAAATGATTTTTGGAAACATTAAATCTTTACTACATGTGTATGAAGCATGCAAGCAAGTGTTTGCACATAGCACATGCATGAAGCTGCAGGGACCACAGAACCCCTGAAAAGGTCTCATACATAGCTGAGCTAGGCATGCGCTGATAATAATGTGTATTTGTCCTAAGAGCTCTTATCTTGCATACCTGGAATAGCACTTATGTAGATTAAATGATAGTTTATTGAAAACATATCTTTTTGCAGGCCATCAAGTTCAATTTTACTAGTAAATAGTTCACATTTTAATGATAGTAACTTCATCAGTCAGTTTACAGTAGAGAGCACACGACCTGTTATAGACCATGTCACTGTAACCCTTTAGATGCTCTTCCAGTCACCCCCCTTGCTAATATGGTTAGCGTCTTTAGCTGTTTGAACAATGAGGCCAGCTAGCCAGGTTACTGTATGTTTGGACATGCTGATAGTAGCTGGCTATGGGCCATCTCTCTAATCCACTGTTTGTATATTTCCTTGTTGGCTCTTCAGCGAGGTGAATAGGCCTGAGCCGTGGGCTGATATGCAAACACAGTTTGTGAAACACCCAATATTGCATTACCGTTGGCTTGTCAGCATTTGTGTAAATCCAATAAGCATGGATCATGTGTGCTTGAAGAGTGTGTGTCTACACCTAGCCATGATTTTTACAAGTATAAAATTTCCTCCTCAAATGCCATTAATGGCTAACGGTCAGCGTTGTGCTGATCGGGGAAGGGAGGGTGTGTCCTTAGCGCTTCCTTGTTGTACCCACACACCTAAAACAGCTACAAATGACTTTTTTCTGCCCTTTCATTATTAAATTAGTTTATTGACAAATCAGTTACAGACCTGCCCGAATATTCAGATTTTTGGTTACATCTAACAGTGGTTAACATTTAAAACCCAGGTGGATCATCTCAGTACATACCACCATAAAAATGACTCATGTCAGCAGTTCATATTCATATTCCTGAACATGACCATCTGTTTGTTCATAATGGCAAAAGAAATTTGCCCAGAGTCCATATTTTCAACATAATCCAGTCCTTTTTTATTGGCAACATGTGCAGTGGTGCCTCTCAGGGAAATAGACCCTAATTTAAAAGTTACTACACCATTTTAGTTGATTTTTTTTATGTAAGTAAGAAAATTTGCTTTCTTTGGGAATTCAGAGGCACATGATGACTGGTCTTTACAAATTCTCGAGTAATAATTTAGCAATTGCAAGCCACTGCTGTTAGGATTGTGTTAAGTGACACCGCTTTGAAGAAATTATCATCGGTTGTGCTCTGCAATTCACTTCTTTTTAATCTCACTCAACCAGTAAAGTGAAAGTTATGCTACACTCCTCTAAATTGATTTTTGTTCTCTTGTTAGAACTGAAAACCTACCTGATATCAGGGAGGAAGCCGGATCATGATGGGCAGTGTGGCTGTTCTCAGATGGCACTGCCAGGCGAGGATTTTGAAGGAGTCAGCCGCTCCTCCTGTCCTCCGACCCACACACCAGACCTCATCCCTGGAGGGGCGAAAGCCGCTGAGCCACTGCTGCCACACCAACCACCTGACCGGATTGGGGTAAGAGGACAACCACATATGAGGAACTCAAACTGGCATTGATGCTTGTTGTCCTTCTGATGAATGCCTCACTTAAAGCAGTGGCTCTTATACTTGTCATATCAAGAAATGGAGAATACTTCTCACTCTGCATTGTTTTAATCAGGCATTAACAATAAAAAGGATTCCCTTGGTCATATTCTTTTTTTTCCAGCTCTGTGCCCCAGCAGTCAGAACCACTTGTCTGTAGTGTTACACCCCGGCCTAGGCAACCGGCGTGCAACACAGGAAAAATTAAAAATAAGGGGGAAAAAGAAAAAAAAACTACTACGGGTCTCCACAAAAAAATCCCAAAACGAAAGTATTGACAACTATTTACATCAAAGCAAATTAAGACATTTATTTTCATCAAAACACCAAACTATTAACAACCGGGGGGGGGAAGATCGCCAACATGACAAACTGGAACACAGGGCTTAAATACATAGAGGGAGCAATCAGGGAATGGACAACAGGAGGGAAACACAGCTGGGGCAAATCAGAACTGACGAGACAAGGAAGCGTAAACTGAACACACTGAGATAAGACAGACTTTCAAAGTAAAGCAGGAAACACATAACAGTCACGCCTAACACAAAACAAAACACTGACAACACCCAATCGTAACAGTTCCCCCCCACCCAAAACTCAAACATTTAAAACATGTAACCCCAAAGAAAATGTTTGATTCATGCCCAGCGCATACTGGGCATACCGGCTGCTGTTCTGCAGGCGACGCTGATGGCTGGACGGGCCCCTTGGATCCTCCAGCGGAAACGGAAGGCTGGAGCGGTCCCTCGGACCCTCCAGCGAAGACAGACGGAGGGCTGAAGCGGTCCTCGGACCCTCCAGCGAAGACAGACGGAAGGCTGAAGCGGTCCTCGGACCCTCCAGCGGAGACAGACGGAAGGCTGGAGCGGTCCCTCGGACCCTCCAGCGGATCTCGGACCCTCCAGCGGATCCCGGACGAGCCCCCATTATGGTCTAGGCATATGATTCTCGCTTTGGGGTGCGAGAGGTCCCGGGTTCATATCCCGGACGAGCCCCCACTTGTTACGTTCCCCTGAGGGGTCTAGGCGGGGAGGGGGAAGTAACAAAAAGTGACCGGGTCAGAAAAAGGAGTCAAGGAGGAAAAAGGGTTAAATTAAAGAGTTTTATTAAAGTTTCAATTTATACTAACTAAAAGAGACGGACAAGCCGCTATCACCATTTAAGAAAACAAACAAAACTCAGGCGTTGGTCAATAAAGTAAAACGTAAGCCAAAAAGAAAGAGAAACTCACCAGCTGAAAACCACCAACCACTCAGCTCACTAGCTGCAAACACAGCAACCACTCAGCTCACTAGCTGCAAACACAGCAACCACTCAGCTCACTAGCTGCAAACACAGCAACCACTCAGCTCACTAGCTGCAAAAGCAGCAACCACTCAGCTCACTAGCCGCAAACACTCAGCTCACTAGCCGCAAACACTCAGCTCACTAGCCGCAAACACTCAGCTCACTAGCCGCAAACACTGCAAACACTGCAAACACTGCAAACACTGCAAACACTGCAAACACTGCAAACACTGCAAACACTGCAAACACTGCAAACACTGCAAACACTCAGCTCACTAGCTGTAACCACACTACTGGCACTCTGGCCCAGAGCTCACCTTTCCCTGGGCTTAAATCTCCTTGATTACTGACGCGAGTCAGCTGTGTAAAAGGGAAAGGTGGCACCTCAGGCAGAAGAGGTAGTGTGACACACCCACACAGGCACCTTCAGGAGGAGGTGAAGTTCTGCCTTTAAAGTTGCCTCGAGCCCAGCACGCTCCAGAAGATAGGTAGGTAAAGGTTGTTGTGCTTAGGAACTGGGTAAGTTGTATTTGTTAATGTGTGTGTGTGGCAAGAGGTAAGTTGGTCAGTTAAAGTACGTTGTGTAGTTTTCTGTTACTTGTTCAGTAGTCGCTGAGTGAGTTGGCAGACCGGTGTGGTAGTGTCTTTATTAGGGTGTGTTTGCTAAGCCTTCTCCGCCCCCGAAATGGATGATACAGCTATCAGTGCACAGGTGTCTAGAAGGTTGTTTGTGGGCAATAACATCCACCTGGTTCCCGTTTTCTTTGAATCCAGTGTTGAGAGCTTCTTCAGTGTGTTTGAAAGCATAGCAACTGCATTACAGTGGCCTGAAGACGTGTGGGGGGTGATGTTGCTGTGTAAATTCACAGGTAAGGCTCAGGAAGCTTGCTCTGGTCTGTCTAGGCAGGACAGCCTAGTTTATGAAAAGATTAAAAGTGCCGTCCTCCAAGCCTATGAACTTGTGCCTGAGGCCTATAGGCAGAACTTTCGAGGTTTGGAGTTGGCACAGGGTCAGTCCTACCTTGACTTTGCTCGGGAGAAGGCAAAGCTTTTTGGTAGGTGGTGCTCTGCAAGCCAGGTTAACAGTTTGGGGTCGTTACGTGAGCTCATGCTTGTGGAAGATTTTAAAAACTCTGTTCCTGAGTGTATTGCTCTTTATTTAAGTGAACAGAGGGTTTCCACTTTACAGCAGGCTGCCATACTGGCCGATGAGTTTACCCTAACTCATAAAACAAATGCTGTATATTGTGACATCCTTTCTCACCCTAATACATCTTGGAGAGCTAGGAGGGAGCCAGGTAGCGAGGCTGAAAAAGTTGTGGTTTCGAGACCCAAAACGAAGCTTTGTTTCTTCTGCCACAAACCTGGACACCTTGTTGCTAACTGTTTGAGACTGAAACTCAAACAGAAAGCACACTCAAAGCAAAAAGGGCCTGCTTTGAGAAAAGTCAGTCGTGGCTCTCAAACCGACAAGGTTGCCAGGCCTACTAAGAGGCTACACTTGGAGCATAATTGCTCAGTAGTGTCATGTAGTCGGGGTAAGAGGTCAACTGACCCTGAGCTGCCACTGGTTGACAATTTCCCAGGTCCTCAAAATGACCTGCAGGGGGACAGGCTGTGTATAAAATCACCAGTAAGACCCGCAACCCTGGCTAACAAACATGCCTGTACCGGTGACTTGAGGAATCGTCTGCAAAGTGTTGCAGTAAGGTCTTCTGACTGCCTGCTGTGTTCTTCACATGTGATGGCTCAAAAAAGCCCTAGCCATCACATGAGACATTGTTTTGAGGGTCTGCGGCCACCTTCAGTAAGTATTTTGAACCCATTGAGATGGGGTTGGCAGCTTCCGCTGACAATGCCTAACCGTTGCTATGGGGTTTGGTAGGTGGAAAACCTGCAATTTGGTGAT